TACGTGTACACAATGGTCGAAGTGGAAATGTAGGTGCCACTGAAATCTATTTGTCTTGCAACCCGTGTTCGCTGTCGTTTCCCCACTTAGGAAGCATAATGTGAGAAGAGAAACCGTCTTAAAATGTGCCCGTAGGCACGTTTTGTGTATTCAAAAGTGCCGATATGGCGTACCCATCATATACCAGCCCATTTTGACCACTGCGTATGCAAGACTGTCATATCAACTCGCCTTTTGCCCATCCAAGGACGGGTGTATTTCAGTAAATCTGAAACTTGCAAGTGAAAAGCAGATCGCGACGTGATATTGCATCAATTCGCGTGCAATTTGTAAGGCCGTGGTGACACAGACTTATTTAATCTAAAGGTTATAATCCCTTGTTCATCATGACGTCCTTTTTACTTTGATGTCTCAACAGCGTTACGGAGATCGCGTGACGTGAGGGTTCTGCCTTTGTAGTGAGGGTTGTAAGTTGACGCCGAGGAGGGGGGAGAAGGCACCTCGCCCCCCCATGTGGAGTGACGTCACCCGCTAATTTATATTCATGGGGGGGGGGGGTGTCCATTTGGAAGACGTCACCCTTCATGATTATTAATGAGGGGGGTCCATGTGGAGGACGTCACCTGTTCATGATTATTAATGAGGGGGGCTGGCCGACATGGAGTGACGTCACGCGCAGGACACACAGACATTCTTGGCTCATTATAGTAGTAGATAGTCATTAATAATTCACAGTCTTCTGTTAATCCACTGCTAATTGAGGGCTTCCACGTGCCGTCGGTGATTGGGGTTGTTTGTGATTTAAACTTTACCACGCTTGCCACTTTGGGTTGGTGAAGTGGCGATGCCCTGCTCATGATTGGAACTCGGGTGACTGGCTTCATTGCTTACTGCTTCCCTGAGTTGGTGTTATATGCATACATTCATCCGTTCGTTTGTTTTCTTACCCACAACATTGCATATCCGTGCTTACCTCTACACCATTCATTTTAATTATAATACACAGCCAATAATTCTTGCTATAATTAACATCTGTGTAAATTTCGATTTAAAGCTTTCGTGACTGCAGGGATTCATCTTCTTGGTTCTTTCGGTAAAGTCACGTAGAAGGGAAATAATAATATAATAAAAATAAAACATAGTCAGACGCGTTTGACGCTGTCTCCCCGACAGACCTGGTCTTCAACTGAGGACGGCTGCTTGCGTTGTGGCCGAAACGTGAGAATTATTTTATTATGTTTTATTTTTATTATATTATTATTTCCCTTCTACGTGACTTTACCGAAAGAACCAAGAAGAAACATCTGTGTACATAACAGCTTAGGTTCTGCCTGTCAATGGAGCTGTATTTCGGCCCCAAATGTATACATTACACGCAGAGTTTACAAGAAGCACAGCTTTACTCTGCATCGTATGGCGGGTTCGAGCACGCAGAGTTTACAAGAAGCAAAACTTTACTCTGCATCGCATGGCGGGTTCGAGCCAGGTTTACATGCTCTTGTCAGCTGGCATGGGCGTTGAGATGCGTTTGGCAAGGTCACCAAGCTGACTTCTTTTGACTTGGCTAATAAAATCCTCACAGCTGTTTCACGTGTGCATGTGACACACTGCCCAGACGGTTGCTTTACTTTGCCTTGTGAGATCATTCTCTGTCATCATATGCCACTGGGTATATGCACTTTGCCGACCTCTGGTAGCAGAGTATTAATGCAGTGTGTTTCAGGAGGGTGTTTCAGATGCATGGGTTTACGCTCGAGATAACGGATTTTTGAGTTGTCGCTGTTAATATTTTACCCTAAGAATCTTAAGGGTGCATTAGGTTAACTGTGAGCCTAGGGCAAAAGCAGTTTCATTTAGAAAACCGTTATCTTAATTGCGCCTTGAACCCAAAAAGCTGCGTTTGATTCTGCCCAAGGCAAACACAAGTGGCGAGTGATTTCCAAACCAGTCCTTCACCAACATGCAATGACCAGGGAAGTGAAATACGTTCAAACAACTCCCACGACCATTAAGGCATGGAGTGGGTTGACAAAGAGCTGTACATTATCATCGCACACGTTTTAATTGTGCCTTAGTCTGAAGTTTTAAGCCTCGGACATTCACACTGAACCTGAAGAATCCTCAAGGTTATTTTTTTTATTCTGTCTCCTGTGTGCTATTGCACACGTGATTGCTGCGCAAGGCACTCCGAATTTAAATATTGAGCATAAGCATAGAATACAAAAAATTTAAATGTTACTGTAATGATAGTTACGTCTGCTGCTCGTTGTGAAGTAAAAAGATGTCGCACACCATGGACTTAACTGGCGCAAGGAGCAACACATTAATACTCTTAGGTTTTTTCGGTAAAGTCACGTAGGTAGAAAAAAATAGAAGTAATAATAGAAGTTAAATAATAAATCACGACGTTTCGGAGGCAACACAAGTCTCCGTCATCAGGTGGGACCGTCACAGCTAGATTTACTGTATCAGTAAATTTTACTGTATCAGTAAAATTTTACTATATCAATAAAATTTACAAAAATTTACTGATACAGTAAATTTAGCTGTGACGGTCCCACCTGATGACGGAGACTTGTGTTGCCTCCGAAACGTCGTGATTTATTATTTTATTTTTATTATTTTTTATTTAAAATTTTTTACCTACGTGACTTTACCGAAAAAAACCCCTAAGAGTATGAATCCATGCAGTCACGAAAGCTTCAAATCTAGAATCAACACATTAATATAGATTTTTTTTTCCTGCCGTTCTGTCTGCCTCGCAGTTAATCATCACTGGCAGCTGTGTGGCAATTGTGATTACAATTCACAGTTCGGCACTCTTACCCTGTGAGTGTTAGGGTTTTACTGATAACATATCATGTTAGTTTGACCTCTGACCACGACGAATTCCATACAACAGAGCCCTCTGCCACATACTGTACGGAGGGTTTAGCTATAATGATTAATAATAATGGACATCTCATTGTCAATGCACTGCTGGATGTAGGGCCCCTCCCTATGACGTCTCTCGGTCGCGGGGGTTTGTTTGACCATACTTCATCACACTGGTCAGTGTGGGTTAGTGACGAGGGGGACTAGGATTGGTTCAACATCACTGATCGCTGATGTTTACCATGGTCTGGAATCTAACACAGGTCCCTCGATTCATAGTGCAGTGCGCTAATCACAGTGCCACTGCTCCATCGCTGTTGTGGAATTGTAGCATGGAAATAATAGAAAACTGAAAAACGTGCACCATTTAAATAACACGAACAAATCATATTTATATCTGCTTGTTGATTGAATGCAGCGTTGATAACACTGATCTGTCATTTGCTACATTACCTTTCAGCGGAAGATCTGAAAGGGTTTCTTGCTTCGTAGGTCCATGCAAGTAGTGTTCAGTTTTTGTACATCTGCATTTGAGTTTATTTTATTTGTTACACAAATGAAAACATTTATCCAATTACCCTGCTATTTTTACAAGAGAGATCTGTGGTGCATGAGCACAGCAAAAACAATACAATGACCAATACATCAACATTACAGATGAGTACGGGATCCTTAAGGAGTATTACACAACAACAAAAACGAGGTATTTAGCTGTTGTAAATCAAACATGCGAATAAAAAAAACTGTGCAAATGTAATATGAGAGCAAGAGGCACAAGGTGCAAGTAAGCCCTACATTTTAGTCTCATATGACACAAACACACGCACATCGAAACAGACTGCGCACACGTGGGACCAAGAGGTGCCAGAAAACAAGTTTGGTGCAACCGATTAGCACGGTTGGCTGTGTACGGTGCAAAGGAAGTTAAACATACATATACATGCTCTTGTGTTTTGATTTACTGGGGAGATGGAGTGAAGGGAGGGGACTAAGCTGAAGCCGAGTGGCAATAGTATTCCAGAAACTGGAGCAGCAACACAGAAATACTTTACCAAACAACGTTTTCGCAAATGGATTTTTTTTGTAGGAATAAGGAGGCACTTCTGAGGCCGTGAGAGGGAGTTAGATTGACTAAGTAGTAATTTACATAATTGTCAGATTTGTTTAAAAGGACCTTTTAGTATGAAGACAGCCAAGTTATGCTAAGTCCGGATATCCAGTGGATATAGATTTGAGTTAATGTACAGATTGCAGTGATGAGTTCTATCAACAGAGAGCGGAGTGGACTCTGACATAAGGTAGACTCAGAAGCGAGGCTGTAGATGCATTTATAAGATCGCCATACTTTTTTTTGTATTTTTGTTATTTTGTGGAAGGGGGAGCGGCATTTGTCACAAGCCTGTAGCCAGATCAATACAAAATAAAGTGTCGACCTTCGTGATAAATGTAGCGGCTGCCCCCTACGACTTGTTGTTGATGTTCCCCAACCCCTCTGGGTCTGGAAGTTGTTGTTCCATCTTCCCCCCCCCCTTCCCCGTTTGCTGAGCCCCCCTCCCTGTGCTTGGCCTCGTTGGTCCTGGGCCACCCGCGGTGTCTCTTTCTCGGTCCCCTCTCCCAATGTGTCCCAGCCCTCCCCCAACCCTCCCCCCACCGCTTTCCTATTTAACCTTCATATTATTCTTGGCGGATGTAAAGCGTGCGTATGTTGTGTTTAACTTCTTTCGCATCGTACTTAGCCAACCATGCTAATCGGAGGTGTTGTGGTTGCATATCGACGCTGTATACAGTGAAATCGTTTTTGTTGTTGTCCCAAATTAAAAGTTGCATTTCACCAGGGTATGCATGGTTCAATGAGCAGTGGTATTGACACACTTGCCGAGTAGCTAGTGGACATTGGGTGGGAAAAGAGAGCTTCACAGCCTATGGAATTCCTCCAGTCTAAATAACGATTCTGATTATGATTTGTTGCACGTGCTTAACCACCACTTCCACCACAGATGACTTGGAACAACCATCAACAAATGTTAGGTGGGGGGTGTGGTGGTGGAACTGGCCCCTTTCCCCCCCACCCCGATTGCACCTCCAGTGACAGGCATGTGTGCTGTGTCCACCTTTGGTCTTCCTAGGTCACGTCATCGAGTGCCTATACATAGCTCACAAGGAGGGGGTCCTGCGGGAGGAGTTCACGCTGGCCAGCGAGACAAACGACCGCACCTGTGCGCGCGTCGCCGTGCAAGCCCGCGTCATGGGTAAGCCCATTTCACATTCCAGGGGGTGTCCTGGACAAACACATCTTGACAGCACTCGTGTACGTGCGCGGCCACTTTGTCAATCCACTGTTTTTTGTGTTCGGTTTGTTGTATCCCCCCGCCGCACCTTTGATTAGCGCGGTTTGCTACGTACGGTGCGGAATAAGTTCAACTTACATGCATACATTCAGATGAGAGGCGCTCCATCCACATGACAGGTTTCTATGGTGTAACCAGGTCTTCCGTGGGAAATGAGTATTTATTGCCCAGTCATAATCCACCTCAAATAAGATTGTGTGTGGAAGTGTAAACCGTCGGTACTGCCATATTTTAAAATGTTTGTTCATCATGGAAGAGTGGGCCAAAATACCTCGAGTGAAGGCCTTATAATGGAGGCCTTTCAGGTTTTTGGGGGTTGTTTGACGATGCTTTCAGTGGCTGGCCAGTGCAGGTTCGTATTGCGGGGTGCCCAGGAATGGCTCGGATACCCCTCAGAGCCCCTCAGAATTTTCTATGGCCAGGAATTGAACTCGCGTTGCTGAGTGCATAGTGCAGTGTGCCACCCGCTGAGCTACCCACTGTTCTACCGATAAACCACATGTATATATTTTTGAGGATAACCCATGCAAGCTTCATTAAAATAATTTACAATTCAACTTTATTCATTTTTATTGTTTCATTTCCCTACAGTGCCACAATGCATTTTATAAATCAGTTTTTTCATCCACTTAAGCAGCCTACATTTCTAGTCAATTAGATTTCGTGGTAATCATTTTTTATTCCTTTACACGCTGCCTCTTTGTGCTGCACAATTGCTGCTAAATTGCACAGTGCAAATGCAATGTGTCTATGCAAGAGATAAATTGATTCGACAAAAAAACCTCCACGTTCATCATTAACACTTCAATAACAGGAAAAGTTTCTAGAATGGTTGACGTTTTGGGCAATGGTTCATAGTACTTATGACTTGAGGTCTATTGCCCATTACATCACCTATGGTGTATTTTTTCCTCTTTAAAGCAATGTTATTAATGAATGTGAGGTTTTTTGTTTGTTATTTATGTTTGTGCACCACAGACAACACACTATTCAGGACTTAAACAAATGTCTTTGAGCTCTAGTTATTTTGTTTCCTGTTTACACACAAATATCAGCATGTGGCCAGTGTGTTGCAGTTACGGTTTTTATAATGCATGTTTAACTTTTTTCCACACCCAACATAGCCAACCGTGCTCATTGGAGGTGCGGGGAAATGACAACAAACTAAACACAAAAAAGCAGTTCTAAAGAAATGAGTTTTCAATCTATATTGAAAAGTGCTTAGCTCCATTGGCTTCCTAATAAACAACTAGTTCTCGGCTGGTTTCATGTAAAGGTCGAAGAAGAAGAATGAACAAAAGCTAAGCGGGTGTTGTGCCTGGATGGGTGACCACCATGTACAGCAGGTTGTCATAGGTTGCTGTGCAACTGCAATGTAGTGGGCAGCAGGGGGCAGTGTAGCAAAATCCATTGAACTGTGCTTCTAGGCTCCCACGTATGTGCGCTCCCCACGTTGACCAACCGATGCTGGCCCTGCAAGCCTGCGTGGCATGAGGGGAGGCCCTCATCCAGCAGTGGACTGGCAAAAGGGCTCTACATATCTTCTTGGTTCTTTCGGTAAAGTCACGTAGAAGGGAAATAATAAAGTAATACAAAGAAAAGATAATTCTTTTATTATGTTTTATTTGTTATTTTTATTATTTTATCATTTCCCTTTTACGTGACTTTACCGAAAGAACCAAGAAGATGAATCCCTGCAGTCACGAAAGCTTTAACTCAACGACTGGAAACGGGATATGACCATTGTGCTGCACTCTGCTGACTTCCCCCAGTCCTTCGTGCCATCTACTCCCTGTTCAAGTTGAGGCTCAAAACCTATCCTGTTTGTCTCTCACTATGGCTCACTGCCTATATCTCTATAAACGTAAATACTCGCAATGCTTCTGTACAACATCTTGTAATGCAGTGCTATTTAACTGCTATATGAATCCACATTCTATTGGATTGCATTGACCCGTGTTATTTTGAGCATAAATACCGCTGACATTTGTTTTTTGTGGTGCACAACTAAATGGCAGCTAGCTGATTGGAAATCTCTGTAGGGTAAAAAAAAAATCCCTTCAAATTTTAATGCGTGTTGATGAGGGTTAGATTGCTAAATGCTTGGTGCGGGTGTTGATCCTGAAAGGCACCGTATGAATATTGTGTTTTTGTGCCTCTGTTGGTGAACTTGTATTTGTGTGTACTTTTGTTAGTGTCGGTTGCACAGCACAGCACACTCTAAAAGGCAAGTTGTGCCAATTTATAATGGAAAGGGCTGTCTCGTGGGTATGGCATGTTCAATTTGAGACTAAATGGCATTGACATTGCAGTATATTGAAAATGTAAGAGCCTCAAATGATATATGACGTGTTTTTCACCATCTCAAATGGTTTATCTGTCTCATCCTTTAAACGGCACTGCCAAACAAGATTTGTTTGAAAAGAATGATTTTTAATTTCCTGTGCTGTTAATCATTTTATTCATATATGATACTACTGCAGTTGTGTGTGAGTGCCGTTTTTTTCTGAATAGTAGAAAGCGCTTAACACCTCCGTAGTAAAAGGTAAACTTCCTCACTCAATTCTAGATTTGAAGCTTTCGTGACTGCAAGGATTCATATTCTTAGGTTTTTTTTCGGTAAAGTCACGTAGGTAAGAAATTAAAATTAATAAAAGTAAAATAAAAATAAAATAAAAAATCACGACGTTTCAGAGGCAACACAAGCTTCCGTCTTCAGGTGGAACCGTCACAGCACGATAGCCGTATCAAGTGAGAGAAATTCCAAGAAAACAGTCCTTGTATATATACTGGTTGAGGGTGGGAGGAGCCAAGGTAGGCCCTGAACATTATTTTTGTGAGGTTCGGTGCGGCTGAAGCACGCTGTTAGGAATGAGCCTTTGTTGTGTAAACTAGGTGCGGATGATGTAAAGGGGCGTGTAAAAGGGACTGAGCCTTTTGTTATGTAGAGGTGGAAGGGCCTCCACTTAAGGGTGCTATAAAGAGACCCTCTCTCTGTGGGGTATTTTTGACCGACTCTTCCATACTTTCAGAGTTGGCATTGCCAACACTTTACCCTACCCACACGCAAGATGTCAGTCGAATAACTTGCGGTGGACCTATTTATACTGCTGGGAGGACAGAAGCAGGGAGATTTTAAAAATAAAAATTGCCTACTGCTTCAACTGCCGTGCTGTGAGATTGAACTAGTAACATCTGGATTACAAGTCCCGTGTGTTAATCATTACATCACAGCAGTATCCGACCTCCATGGCAATCACTAGGTTGTTGTTAAATTAATGTCGAAAGGCAGGTGAGAGAGCTTATTAAAATTCAGTTTTTATTTTGCCGGAGTTGGCCTCGTGGTTTACACGCTGCGCTATGAACCCAGTGACCTGGGTTCGATTTCTGGCCACTGCTAACATCAGTGGCGAGGGATATCTGAACCAATCATGGGTGCCCCCTTCACAAACTTACACCGACCACCGTGGTGAAGTATGGTCAAACAACCCCCATGGCCAACATGGCTCTGGGTGGCCTTCATCCAGTCTTCAATTGATTAATGTCCATAAATGTAGTTTTTTTCCTTTACTTTGCAAGGAAAACCTAAGTAGTTGGTGTTATGTTGATAAAGTATCCGTTTATGTTGATAAAATCATTTAAATATGACAGCCTAATTGCACATTGTGTCCAAATTTGATATTTTGGTCATGGAAACCAACACATCTTGCCCACCATCACTTCTTGGCCAATGGTGTCACGGTACTTAATCACCACTTCATCAAGAGCGGAGTGCTTCAGTTGTTACCCGCACTGATCACAGCGCAGCGTCAAAAACAAAACCAACCACTGTACGGACCGGTGCCGTGGTGAGCTCACATGAAAGCTCCACACCTCTCCAGCTAACCTGCCATCATCCACCTGATAACACTGGATGATAACATACATCGTCACGGGCTAAAGGCAATTGGGGTTCTTTTGCGCAGGACTTGAAAATCCTCACGGCTGAGCGTCGATCAATTCCATAAGCCAACAATGCACTGCCTCGGGGGACGTCCTTTGAGCAATTTTCAAAAGGCCACGGGTCATGAACACAAGTCCGATGCTGTAATTATGCCTTGCAGTCCTGTGGCTTTTGTGTTTATTTAATGAATATGAACTTTTGACCTGTCAGCCCATGGGCAGTAGTAACATCTTTTTTTTTGTATGTCATGTAAACAGTTTTATATACACTACAGGGTAATTATTGTACACGTGTTTATAATCCCGTGATTTATTTACTCTACAGGTCATTATACAATTAGTGACTTTTTCAGTTACCATGGCGTTCACTGTAAGAAAAGCAAATCTCATGTCCTGTGAGAAAATAAATTTGCTTTTCTTACAGGACATGAGATTTATCTCCCCAAGCTATCACCATCTCTCACAGTCTAGCTATGCAACAATCCATATAGCACCAGGACACAAGCTGATGCCATCGCTCCATTGCCACAGTGGATGCCCTCTCAGGCATGGTCCTTTCTTTGGCTGCCACTCCTTCTAGATTTGAAGCTTTCGTGACTGCAAGGATTCATATTTTTAGGTTTTTTTGGTAAAGTCACGTAGGTAAAAAAATTAAATTAATAAAAGTAAAAATAAAATTAAAATAAAATAAAAATCACGATGTTTCGGAGGCAACACAAGCTTCCGTCACAAACCGCACCTCTCCATAATAAAGGCTCAGTCATTTGTTATGCAGTCCATTCATAGTCTCAAGCCGCACCTTACCATAATAATAAAAAGTGGGCCGTTCCTGGCCCTTCCCCCCTCAACCATTATATATACGGAGTGGTATTTCTTGTAATCTCTCATTTACTTGATACAGCTGTCGGGCTGTGACGGTTCCACCTGAAGACGGAAGCTTGTGTTGCCTCCGAAACGTC